TTGGGAGTGTAGTGGTCAAAAGATATTAGTGAATTTTCCTAATTCTTTGCTTATCAATTTGATAAAGATTGCTTTGTCACCCGTCGAATGTGCTATAACCAAACATCCATAATTTCGCGAGAGCCCAACATCTTGTATTGAACAACGACTGCATCTTTCTCTATCAGGCCTTATCAGCTGTTATCATTTCCTGTCACCCGCCGTCGCCTTCTCCTATCATTTGCTGAAATCAACGCCTATGATGCTGTGTCCCGCATTATGAGTATGTTGTCCTTTCCACTCTAATTCCCTTATCAGCAGCTAGCAGTTCTTGTCACCCACATATTCCTGTGCCGTAACCTATATCATACCTTAGACAAACGCCCCAGTATTCCAGTCGGACCGTCTCCTCTGCTTCTTTCCAGGTTGCGTGCTCACGATGCTGAGCAACGCGCATGGAAGAAACAGAGGGGGGGGGGGCCCCACCCAACTGGCGCGTCCGCCGCCCCCCCATCGGCCCCACCCTGCCCCCGCACGAGCACACGTCCAGCTGCCACGCCAGCAGCTCGTGCAATGGCTCGGAGCGTACCGAATGGTTGTCTTATATAGCGGAGGCCGATATCACGATCAAAACATTGGATTGATACTTCCGCACCAATCGATTTCCGGTTTGCCTAGCGGTCGTTTCTCCTCCAGCGAACTCGAACCCGTGAATGCGGACGGACAACAATACAAACATTACTTACTTACTTACTTACATACATACATACCGACAAACCGACACACAAAGTTTCTGCTTTATAGAATAGAAGGATTCTATAAACCAGTAACTTTGTTGTGTCGGTTTGTCGGGTTAAATGTAATGTATTGTAGCTAAGTATTTTGTTAATGTCTGTCCCGTCGCCAAATTCTTGCGGGAGTTAACTACGTTCTGAAAGAAGAAAACGACGCTACCAATACCGGAACCCATCGTGCGGATATATCAATCCAATGTTTGGTTGTGATAAGAGCCATTGCACGAGCTGCTGCCGTGGCAGCTGGACGTGTGCTCGTGCGGGGGCAGGGTGGGGGTGCCAGGTCGCCCTGCCTCCTTCTCCTGCATGTGCTCAGCCGGAGCTGAGCACATGCCATTGGGAGGAGGCGAGGGAAGGGGTTCGCGGGGAGGGGGGGGGGTCGAATGAGCGGGCGCGTTAGCGCACCGTTTCAGTAAGAAACTCCACACTAGATGAAGGAAACAATCGTAACCAAATAAATGTCAAGCAATATATGTTACCGTAACGAACAAGTTTGTCTTGGTTGTGATAACACTCCCACTATATAAAAACCCTATCACTCCGAGACATTGACGTGTTGCTCGGCGTTTTCAGTTTGACGTAAGGCGTGCAAGGGGCCAAGGTGGGGGGGGTTGATGCGAGTCACGGAAATGGGGTGAGGTTGAGAAGGCGTGGGAGTTGTATCGAGTGACCCCCTCTCCCCATCCTCACTTTTGCGCGTACTCAGTCGGATCTGAGCCCATGCAGGGGAAGGAGGCATATGGATTGAATCGGGCAAACTGGGTACAGTAAGGGGATGCGTAGCGTACGCTTGATAGGAGCAGGCGGCAAGACAGAAGGAAAGAACCCTAGCAAAACTGCAAGCTAATCCATGCTACAGCAACGAACTAGGAAGCTGTTTGGATTGTGGATAGCTCCCCTTTCTAAGCCAACCACTGTGATAGACTCTGTGCTATATTGCAAGGTAGCTTGCCTCGCTTTGGGAGCTGGACGTGAGCACGAGCAAGGCGATGGTAAGAAGCAGTGGCGGCGTAGTGTCTCTATGTTGCACCAGCTGCTCACGTGGCGGCTGCATACCACGTGCGGGAGTGGGCGCCAGTTAAGTTAGGTCAGTGGGATATGATGTTTGTGAAGGGGTTACCAGATGAGAATCGGCGATTCGCCGATTTTAGGAGTACATAGCGCCCGGCGGTACAGGCGTCCTGATAAGATGAAGAAAATGGATCGACCGCAATCGGAACTGAACCGATTAATGTTGCATTATCAAATTGTGGTAGCGTTTTGATAGTCATAACACCCTCCACAACATAACACAACCATTTAGTGCACTCAGAACCATTGCACGGGCTATTCGCGTAGCAGCTGAGCGTGACCTGTAGGGTGGCTGAGCGGGAATAGCTGAGGTTAGTTTGGGGTGAAGGGGTACCATATTGGCGCGATCGACGCTCGCCTGAACAGAGCACGCAGCGACTGCGGAGACCGAAGCATCCATGGCTGTCATAAGATGGGGAGGAGCGTAATCGATTATCCATAACCAGATTTTGAACTTTTCATTATGAAAGTGCC